ACTGGGGATAAAAGGATCTCTTTGGTCTTCTTTACCAGCTACTGAGTCTGTTTGCTGTCTCTATTGGCTGCTCCGAGATGGTCAGAGAGGAGCCCTTCCTGCTAACCCTGCCTGCATGAACTGCCATGTAAACTGCCTGGCCATATCCCTGTTTGCCAGCTCCCTTTTGCCACACTTCGGGTTGCTCATGCTCCCTGGAGTCGTTTAAATGGACCTTGATCACTCCCAGCACCAATGTCTCCTTTCCCAATTTACTACCAAGGGCTTCTGGGTCATGGGGCTGTTGCTTGGGTGTTCCTGGACTCAGGAACCCCCCTGTACAGCTGAGTCTCACCCTCTGGACTTCCCTTCACTCTTGGCTGCTGAAGTGTCGGTGACTGAGACAGTTCACATAATCACAGAATCACAGAATATGCCAAGTTGGAAGGGACCCACAAGGATCATCGAGTCAAACTCCTAGCTATAAAATTACTGTGACAACTATGTTCAGGAATCTGCATCCCACCATTTTTTTATTCTTCAATTTTACTAAAAAAAAAAAAAAAAAGGCATAAAATGTGTAAAAAGAGGAGGGACTGAATAGAAAATTCCTTTACACCTTATGCCCTAAACATTGACTCAGGGATTTAATTTACATTTTTTTTCAGACAAAATTTCCATGTAGCCTAGTTACTCTCCTGGAAAGAGAGGTGAATGTGCATTATTGGAAAAAAACGCGGTCAGATTTTCTAATTAATAGATTTTTGGATAGAAAAGTTTTTGCCTCCTTTATCTAGCCTCTGCCCATATGTGAATCTGAAGACACAGCTCGAGTCTACCACACCTAGAACCTAGGCTAATCTGGCTTTTGCAGCTTATTTTATCATGTGTTTTATGAATGCTGTTCTCTCTTGGGTGAATATAGCCCCCTCCCAACCGATCTCTCATAGTTATTGGTCTAAGACATAGTCATGAACTGAGAATCTGGCTTTTTGGCAGAACCAGGGCTCTGAACTGAAACAATTTTTCTTGCATACTCTGAAGTTAGCTAGTAATCAAGCCTTTATTTTGAAGACTCTGATTGTAGATGGAGTTTCCATGTATCATTCAGATGTGTCTGCATTGGAATACCACAGAGAAGGTGTGCTTTCTGTAGGAAAGAGATCTGTGCCTCCACATTTCAAATGGGTACTCAGAAAGTAAACTTCTGGGCAACTTCATCTGTGACTGAGAATAGAAATCAAGAAATAACTTGATGGGCATATGTAGTGTAGAGTGTGGGCCTGCTGAATCTAAATATAAGACCAATTTTCACATTCCATATCTAAATCATTTAATAAGAAAGTCCAAAGGAACTCAGAAGGCTAAAAAATGACTTTCTAAAATTTTAACATGGAATACTTTGAACATAAAATGTTTATTTTTTTTTTATTAGTATAGAAACCTAGCTTCCCTCTATTCAATGTGTCAACAGCTGCCAGCAGTTTGGCAGAATCAATGAAACATATACCCAGCTGGGATTCACATACTTGAGATTGGATTGAAGCTGTCTAAATCATGTTATTTGGAAATTAGGGATGGATTTCACATCACCTAACTCTAGGCCATTGCCCGTGTGGATGTTTACATCAGAATGAATACCTTTTATTATCAATGAAGAAATATAGATTTTCTGGTTTATGTCTGACAAATACAGACATCAGCATTAAGGGTGTCTAAACAAAAGTAATGAAGTAGGAATTGAAAAATACTTGGAGGGCTGGGACTTCAGGAACAACCTCTTGAAGTGTCTGCTATCACCTAGTTTAGACATCTCCTGTTTGGTGTGCTGATAGATGTGAATCCAATCTCATTTGAATTCATAATTACTAGACCATGAGGTGTGTTAAAGCTGTGATTTCAGTCCCAAAGTTCAGGCCACTGAAACAGATATGATCCATGGAGTGTTCTTAGGTTCATGTCCTTTTGTGTACTCTGCTCTTATAATTGATGAGGAGAAAGAACTCAATGGAAAACATTCCTTCAGGAAATTTCCAGATTAAATCTTATATAATAAAACATATAATGAAGTTGCCATGTGTTCACAGTAGTTGTATTTTAGTTGAATTCTGTTCTCCGTTCCTGAAAAACAAACAAAAAAAAGTACTTTCTGGCTAAGGAAATTTCTAATTAACTGAAAAATTCTCAATCTGTCTCACATTTCCCACGATCACATGACATTGACAACCACTGTATCATTGGTTTTTCAGAGTTACGTATAACTTAATTAGGTCATTTCTTTGTTTATGTTTCAGTCTGCTTTTGGTTCATTCAGGCTGTTTAATACACACTAGAAAAGGTACAAATGATATATAGTGGTTTACTTTTTTCTTTTGTTGTTGTGGGGTTTTGTCTGTGGTTTGGGGTTTTTTTGTTGGTTTGGTTGGTTGGGGGTTTTTTGTGCTTTTTTTTGGTTGTTTTATTTTTTGTTAATAAGGTTTACCTTTAAGATACTCTAATAAAGTCTACACTTGGAACACAAAACATCTTAATTAAGAATGCATTTTTCAAGACTGTGCATCATCCGTCTGATTTTGGAGGACTTTCACAGGACAATTCAATCATATTTTACTGTACACGACAAATTATGAAAGTTCATTAGCATACTTTAGAGGGAAAAGAGTCAATTTCAAAATCTCATTTGAAGAGGAATTCCTCATAATAAGTTTATTAATTTGGGTCAATTAATTTCACTATTAAGAATATATACTGAGTCTGAATTAGGCTACTTCTAATTTAGAGTCATTGGAGCCTGTAACCTTTTTTTTCTTTTAAATTAAACTAAAAATGTATTTTTTTCATATTTCCCTGTCACCATTCATAAAGATACAATAATTTCAAATTCCACTTGATCTGTTTTAGTCCCTTTTTTCACACCTAAATGTTGTAAACTTTGATAAACCATCAGTGACCATGAATGAATTAATAACCTTTTCAAGAAGAAAGAAACAAAATTATGATTCTGGACAGATGGAGTGAGTCTGGCTGGGATGGTGTTCATTTCCTCATAGTAGCCCTCACAGTGATGTGCTTTGCACTGGTAGGTAGAAGGGTGTTGATAACACACCGGTGTTTTGGCTACTGCTGAGCACAGCAGCAGTACTGTAACATTCCTTCCTCAGTTGAGGACAAGATCCTGGGAGGGGACACAAGTAAACTGACCAAAGGGATATTCCATACCATATGATGTCATCTCAGATACAAAGACTAAGGCAAGGAGCAGGAAGGCAGGCATTCATTGTCTCCAATAGTTGCCTACTGAGGAACTGTTATGCATGCTTAAGCCCTGCTTCTCAAAAGTGATCAGCCATGGCTGCTGCTGGGAAGCAGAGAATAAACCATGATATTTTTCACTTCATTTCGCTTTTGTGCACACAATCTTCCACTTTACTTTTGCTTTAACAAACTACCTTATCCCAACTCATGTGTTGTTTCCATCTTACTCTCTCCCCTGTCCATCCGGAAAAGAGTGTGATAGAGTGTTTGAGTGGGCACCTGGCAACCAGCCACAGTCAGCTCACCACAGCGGTCTAGGGACTTTACAATGGAAATTGTTATGTTTTGTACAGGTAATTAAAATATTTTCTGTCTAAAAACATATATATGGTAACATATATAGCTATATATAGTGATATATATATAGTAACAAATACATACAATAATTCCCAAATAAAAAATATGCTTGAATAAATACTGAAATTCTACTCTGTATACAGTAGAAGAGTTTCAGTCTAACAAACCCACAATAACAACAAAAAATGTTTAGGAAAGATTCTTCAGGAATATACTACAATATGGTGTTTAGAAGAACTGGAGTGAGTTGCCTGATATAATTAGTAAAACTGGGGTCTTGAAACAGGATTTTTTTAATATTCCATGTGAGTGCTCTCCTTGGAGATTCACGTAAAGAATAGAAATATCAGGTTTTAGTGTGTAACCTATGCTATAGGCATATTTAACACCAACAATCACTTAAGATTTCTAGATTTTAGAAATGAAATAATTAGAAACCATGCTAATCATTCCTGTCAGTATCTATGTGTCCATACATAGTCCGTGAAGAAGAAATTTACATGCATCCAGAAAAGGTGTAATTGGGATCTGTTGTTGCTAAGAATAGTTCTGTTTCTTAAAGTGAAATGGACATATCATATGTTAAAAAGCTTACACAGCAAAATTCTATCTATTTTAATTAAACTTGCAATTTCATCAAAAATATTTTATTTATTTTGGTTAGAGCTATTTCCTACAGATACAAGTTTTTGATGATTTATTGTATTTTCTTTTTGAGTTCTGAGTTAAAATTTGTCTTATTTTGCTAAAAATAAATATTGGACTGATAGTTCTAAAACTACCTTTCTTTTACAAGAGTGTCAGAATTTCAAAAATTTAATTTTTTTCTCAGGCCCTCAGTGTTCTTCTAGTATTATTGAAAAAGTATACTGATAATTTAAGGAGTTTCTTGGTTGAAGTATTTACATATATATGTACAGGAAGTTGCACTTGCAGATTAAAACAAAAATTAAGAAATCAAATTTCACTTATAAAAATTCTTGAATAATTTTCACTATACAGGTTGACATAGCAGAGAAAAATACAATAGGTGAAATTATAATTTTTAATGGAGACATAAGAAAATAAACTATGAAAATACTCTAACCCACAAATTCAAAGAAATTACTTGTGAGGTAAAGAAAAATAATTTGAAAAAGTAGTGGTAGCACTTTTTATTAATGCCTCCCACTAGTGGACATGGGACAATAAAGAGAGAAAGACAGATCCTACACCTTAAGCTTTATGAATGAAGTTGTTGGTGGTAGAATCAAGGATTTGAAAGTTCTGCTTTCATCCATCTAGATGAGGTACAACTTATTAAATTTGAGCTGCTTGTAAAGCATTGAAAAATGAGAGATATAGTTGAAGGAAATATTCGTTGGAGTCCTCAATGATCGATTCATTGGAGTAAAGAAGGCAGCATAGAGAAGGAGAAGAAATTGCTAAATATACAATGGAGGTAACCCACACTGCTTCCACTACAGAAATACTTTGACTTAAGAATAATGAGAGGTATCCGAGTGAACTTTCTGCTTAATATACATTTGTTAACTTCTAAGTGCTTTAAACTGTAACACTTTAAAGTGCTTGGAAAGATTTCTTCTTCTTTCCTGCTTTTCTGAAGATCAAAAGTACTTCCTATCCCTTTCACTGACACACAGAGAGATGGTTCTGGTAGTGACAGGAAACTTTGTGAATCACTTGACCCAGTGTACTGCGAGTCCTCAGGAAGCCTTCAAAAAAACCCCTTTAATGATCCATTGGTCAAATGTCAGTTCAACTGAGTGACGCATACATCTTGGGTGGATTGTAATAAGATCGGTGTTCTTAAGTTATGAAATATTTAACTCCCAAAAGTTACATGTGCTCATGTATTTCCAGCCTACCTGTGCTCAATGGATCATTTTGTAGCCTTAAGCCATACCCAAGCAATACTAGTCTGATAGGTTTTTTTAGGAATTTTCTTTTGTAACCTCTCACCGAAATGAAACCCAGATTTATTTAGTAAAGAGTCAGAAAGGCCCTAAACACCAAACTTTATTTCACCTCTAGATCATTTATAATGAATTATGAATATTGTCATTTGCTGTACTTAACTCTGTTATTGATAAAATACCTTATCAATATGTGTCATAACTAAAATCAATAAGTAAGGCTTAACTGTACCAATTTGAATAAAGTAATTTCTGTCCAAAATCTACAGGTTGGGTGTTGAAATGCATTTTTGGAAACTGAAAAAACAGAAAGAAAAAAATAACATTGAATTTACTACCCTTGGACCAGCTAGAAGATGATGTTTTTATATAGCTAGACTTTCAAAGCAACAAAGAAACTAGACAATCAAAAGTTTTATAGGAGAATATCTATGTGTGTAAGAGCGTGTGTCTGTATGTATACATGCCAGACGGTAAAGTGGCAGCAAAGTGACTAGCTTTCCTACTGCTGTTTAAATTTCTAAAGTGAGATTTTTTTAGAATTTTGCCTTGTATATGTGCAGAACCTTGGCCATCTGTCTTCACCATTTTCTGTTCTTTTAGCTTCACCTTCAGTTGAATGCCTTTACAGCTATGGTTGGAAAGCTGTGTGCTTGAAAGAAACCTAATGGTAAAAATGCTTGTTAGGAAAGTGTCATGATGATGTGGGTGCTCATTTCTATATTCCAAAAATATAAAAAGGTGCAAAAAAATGTTTAGAACCAAGTAGTGTAAAATTTAATTCAATTACTGGTAACAGTGAAATGTTGAAAACTATGTGTTGGAGTCCTAAATACCATGAGTTTTGATATAAATATGAGATTTCCTTTTCTTTTGATGCACGAAATTTTACACAGGTTTCAGGACCTTACTAAATTGATTTTTGCAACTAGCTTTTGAGTTTTCTGGAGCAATTAGAATGACTACTAGAGAAAATATGCTCCTAAATGGTCAAAAGAAAATGCTATTAGATTTTCAACAGGCATGCTATTAGATTATGTTGTTTGTTCATTTCATCTCTATCTTGTACTGGCTTTCATGAGCTTAATTAAAGCACAAGATTTTTATGTTAATATGATACTTTGATACATATGAAATTCATTTTAATGGCTAATACTTCATTATTGTTTTAGAATCATAGAATCAGACAGGTTGGAAAGGACCTCCGAGATCATCAAGTCCAACCCTTGATCCACTACCACCATGGTTACTAGACCATGGCTCTGAGTGCCACATCCAGTGTCTCCTTAAAAACCTCCAGGGACGCTGAATCCACCACTTCCCTGGGCAACCCATTCCAATGCTGATTACCCTCTCTGTAAAGAATTTCTTCCTAATATCCAACCTAAACCTTCCCTGGCAGAGCTTAAGATCGTGCCCTCTTGTCTTACTGATAGTTGCCTGGGAGAAGAGACCGATGTTCACCTGGCTACAACCTCCTTTCAGGTAATTGTGGAGAGTGACGAGGTCTCCTCTGAGCCTCCTCTTCCCCAGGCTAAACAACTGCAGCTCCATCAGCTTCTCCTTGTAGGACTTGTGTTTGAGTCCCTTCTCCAGCCTCCTTGCTCTTCTCTGGACCTGCTCCAGCACAAGATTAGGTTCTTTATATAGTCAGAGTTACATTAACAACGAAAACAATTTGCAATTAACATTTTATTCTTCTGTTTGGAAGTCTTTATGAATATAGCAGTCTTGCATATGCAAATGATGAGGGGTTTTTGTATGATTCAGGATTTAGGAAAACTCTTGTTGGGTTTCTTTTATAATTAGAAACATTCCTAAAATATTTATAAGTCCGAGAGTGATTTTATGCTTCTTTTTGTGTGGGGTGATTTATTTTTCTGTTATTATTATTTTCTTACATATAGTCTGATGCCATTCTATTTCTCATAAAACTAGAAATCTATTCTTACTGCTAAATGCTATCCCTTAGATGAAAAAAAAAAAGGAAAGAGGAAAAAAAAAACACATGTATTTTCTATCTTCTTTACAAAATGTGACTGTTGAGCTAAATATTCGAGTAAAGACATAGAAATATAAATTTCAATATGTTAACAAAGACTGTTTATATGATAATTCTCACATTTGCTCACCCCTTGCACCCCAAAGAACTTATTTGAAATCCTGTGTCTAATCTGTGAGTCCTGTGTCTAATCTGTGGCAACATTCTTATGGAACATAATTTTCTTAAAGACATTATTGCAAGGGCACACAATATTTGTATGTACTGTGGTGAGCTCAAAACTAAATTCATATTTTGCATTTAGATACTGTTTGTGGAATTTTCATATTCTTTTATTGTTTCTTTTGGTGCATCAAGTTTCAGTTTAAAAGATGAAAATATCTATCCATTTTTCATTTGAAGTCTGTGGGTGTTTTCCAATGTTACTGAAAAAAACCTAAAAAATTGTCTTCTAAATTTTTTGAAAGGCACACTTATAGCTAATATAACATTTTATAACTTTAGTCATTGTGTCAAGAAGCATTATCACATTGTAAAAGCACCTTGGAAGACTCTTGTGCTATCAAACTTTTTGTGGAAAACCAAATATCTTGGTCAACCTGTACTGTTCTCCAGAATAAAAAAATTATTGCTCCTCAACATTTGTCCTCTTTTTATTTTTTTTAATTTTCCTCTTATTATGACCTTATATTCTTGTTACACTAATGTTTGTGATCACCAGTACGTGTCTTGCCCTGAGAGTGATGTAGTCTCAAGACAAGTAATCTAAAGTAATAAGGACACTTTTCATTTTTTAAATTAGAAAAGATTATTTCTAATTGGTCTTTATTCAATTTTATTCATTATAATTACTGTCTTAAGCTTATTATTTCATATACAACATTGTAAAGTATTTGATTTTCTAATATAGTTGTTAGATCTCTAATTCTCTTTGCTCCTGTCACTATGATCCTGAGAAAGAGAATTTGGGGCAAATATATCTACATTTATTATTGTCTCAGAAGAATTATGTTTAGTTTTATTTGCTCACAAAGAAAGAGTTCTATGCTGTGTTTTAACCCCAGTTATAAAATATTAGAAAATACTAAGTTGTGTTTATATAGAATGTAAAGGTCACAGTGTGAAAGCCTAATATAGGAATTTTAGCTGCCTTACAGGTTATTTAGGACTTAGCCAAGCACCAAGAGAACTGCAAACTGACCCTTCTTACTGCGTAGGAAGTCAATAATTACATATCCATGATAGGATCTATATAATACATAAAGATAGTTTTGGTTATGAAACAAAGCAGGTTTACAAATTCTGGTATCATTCCATATAAGTAACTTTGTGGGGGCTGCATAGAACCTGAGTCTAAAGTTACGAATGTCTTTCCCACTTTTAACTAAACTATGCAATATGAGAAAAATCTTTGGACCTCATGTAAGTACCAGATAAATACTAGTATAGTTTCATGTTATTTTGGAATTTTCCAGCTGGAAATCTTCTTGTTGCAATGTTTCAAATGTTAATGAGAAAACACTGATAATTTAATATCAAATATATTTGCAGGTGCGGGTAGTATAATCTCTGTTTTGTTTAAGCCAAATTTGATGTTTGACATTTCTTTTGTCTGATATGGGCACAAAAGAAAAAAAAAAAAAACAGAACAGCTTTCAGTTTTTGATTTGTTTTGTTGCATTTTTAGATGAAAATTAACTTTCTACCATTTCTGTTTTTTGCATAAGAACCTGACACTACTTTTGGATAGGTGTGAAAGTGTTTGTATAAAATGGGACACTTTGGTTAGTACGGAGAATTAGGACACTAACTGTGAATATGGAACAATACGCTGAAGCTCTTGAAAAATGCAGAACAGTGCTTTTCATCTCAGACTGCTCTGACTTGATTAGGCAAGGATTCCTGCGTATCCCCTGTATTTTAACTGATGCAATGACTCTAAAATTATACATTCTATGTAGAAATGTTTCTTGGTAAAAAAATTTGTCTCCATAAAATAAATTATTCTGGAAAAAAGAACAAATTAATTGAGTAAAAAGATATAAACAATGTCAAAATAATTAACTTCCTTTTCAGTTCTGTTATATTTTTTTAAAATTCCTGTAGGTTTGAATGCTCAATATTTTTGAAGTATTTTTTATAAATATTTGACATAAGCAGTCACTTTATGTTATTTTGGGCATTGATGAAGTAAATATTTTGACTGAATAATAGTCACATATAAACCTTTGTACATTAATATAGGGGCTTTCAAAAGCGTATAAACTTTCTTTTACCAGCAAAATTGTCACCATTTTATTGTGTTATGAAAGAATTTAATTAAATGATCATCAGACAATGAAAGTGCATCCTGCTGTTCATCTAAAACTACAGATAAAGTCACACAATAATCTGAAGCAAGATCCAGAATCACGGAATGGTTGAGGCTAAAAGGGACTTCTGAAGGTCATCTGGTTCAACCTTCTGTTCAAGCCGGGTCACCAACAGTTAGTTGCCCTGGACTAGGTTCAGAAAAGACAAAAGGAAGAAACATCCACAAAACTTCATTGGATACACTTCTTTTCTTCTCAATGCAAAATGCTGGGTTTTTTTTTCTCATTTGATAAGTACATGTTTTCAAATGTTTTGGCACAAAATAAAATCTTTATGAAACTAGAAAAAGAGTTCTGCTATATCGTTTGAAGAAAAAGGAGGGGTAAATTTTTGGGGTTTTTTTTCAACTGTTAAATAGTTGAAGTTTTGATGTATACATGAACTTTGTATGTTTTTACCTCCTCTTAGTTTTTTCCAGATTTGTAGTCTAACATTAATATTCACCAGATGCAAAGACTCTGCTTATTAGTACCAACTGCATTAGCTGATACAGCAAAAATATGTACTTTACCCATTTAAATTCCTCAACAAAAAACTCAGAAATGTCTTTGGGAGCAATAGAACCATTTAAAAATAGGAAAACTTGAGTTTATTTTAATAGTTGAATGTTGCAGAAGTGGTTGTCAAGGATGTGATTTTTTCCATGTAAAAGTAAACAATTATTTGAATGCTAAAATTGAAAATTAGTGAAGTTTATAAAAATTCCCTAGTCTGCTTCTGTAATCAAGGAAGGTAGCGAATTATCTTAAAAGGGCAATCAAATTCTTGGGCTATTTTTTTCTCCTGTTTGAAAAGTACAGGGACCCAGGGGTTTATTAACTTAATTTAGGTTGGCTTAATCTGTGCTGAAAATTAATTTTATGAACCAGGTACATACTATACCTCAATTAAATATACAGAGTAATATCAGTTTGGCTGTGTGGATACTATGTCTATAACAGCTAATTAAATAGGGCCAAGGCCCATTCTCTGGACTTTAGAAAAGCAGCATAGCACTGTGTGTACCCATATTAATAAACTTTCAGTTCCTCAGAAAAAAAGACTTGTCCATGCCATCTATTCCAAGTGACCTCTTACTCTTGATATCTGAGAAACAATGACCAGGAATTAACAGGGAGTAAGTGATCCCTGGAGAGAACAAATCTATGTTACAGGTCATACTAACAATTTACAGCTTGGACACTCATGCTTGAGAAGTGGCTTGCCATTTTAGCACTATACTTATATATCTTTCAGATCCACTTTCCTAAATATTAATCTGGGACTGCACAGGATGTAAATTGTCTGATGAAAGTCTGTGATTTCCAAATCTGAAATCATTTTTCAACATATTTTTTGTAAAATCAGGTTTGGTTCCTCTATTCAAAACACAGAAGTATTTGAGATAGAACGGTACCTTGAGACAGAGATATACAATGTCTCTTTATTTTCCCTTTTCCACCACCCTGACCACCCACCCATTTAGAAATGCCCATTTAAGGGAATGCATTAACACATCTAATTTCAGTGGCTATTAATTAAGATGTTCTCCTCGTAGTTTTTTTATTATAATGTGACAATTTAATAGGCGAGAGAAATTTCAATGGATAAACAATTTTACAAGGATAATTTCAAATACGTGTGCAGGGATATCTTTGATACCTCCGAGGATTTGGGTTTGCAATTACAAGTAAGTCCTAATTACAGGTTTTGTAAGTGAGAATTTTTCTAGTTACTTCTCTCCGTATTGCAATTTTTGTTAAAATTCGTTGTCCTTTCAGCTATAACTCACTGTGTGTTACAGAGGATCCTACATATTCATGAATTTAAATATACCAATTTGAATAATTATCATGATTTTCATTAAACTATAATGAAGAAGGAAAGAGATCTTTACTGTCGTAACTCAAAAGCACAGAAAAAAAATTATGCATTGAACAGGGACATAGAGTTTTGAAATAATTTATATTTCCATTCAGTGGTACTAATAACTGCTTTCTACTTTTAATGAATACTTGTCAGCTCTGACGTTATGTTTCACTTACCTTCCTTTCTCTTAGCAATATTCCAGGCTTATATTTTTTTGCCTGGGTGCCTTTAAGAGTATAGAATTGCAGATCTGATCCCTCCCTCCAAAGCCCAGAAGTTTATTTATTCTTTTTGTCACTAATCGCTGTAGTTTATCCAATAAGTTGCTATAAAAAGTAAAATTCAGTTGAAAATACTGAGACCTGCCCACAAAGCTTTTTGTCATCTTTAATTCATTCTTCCCTCTTGCTCCTTCTATCTCTACCTCCTCGTTTTGTCCTGTGTACCTTAACATATTGGATTTCTACCAGTTAATCTATTCCTGCTTTCCTGAATTTTGCAGAACATACAAGGCATTGCCCATTAAACTATTGTGAGGGTAGATCTGAAAGTTTCCAAACCTCTCATTAAATGTTTTCTCTTAGCATTTAGACTAATTTTTGCTTCTAGTTAGAAGGAAAGGACTAAAATTGCAAAAATACTGTAGACTAGAATTTAGTTTTTTAAGGAATGAAGTTCATTATCTAAAGCTCTGATAGAAGTAAACTGGAATTAGGTACCTAGGAGCTTGGAGTGCTTGGCATGATACCCTGTAATCCCACAATTTTACTATCCATTACAATTATCCCAGTTAATGAACTATAAATTTACACTGTAAATTGCGATGTTATAAGAGAAGTTTTCATTACCTTGGTGTACAAACATTGCTTCCCTTCACATTTCTGTCAACCAATTTTAATTTGTCTTCAAAATACAGTTTTAAGGAACATTTTATTTCCTTATTTTATGGACAGTGGAAATTTAGATGAGGAGAGGAGGCAGGAAAGTGGAAACTATTCTTTTTGTGTGTTAAAATTAATTGCTCTGAGTTGATAAATCATTATGAAGGTTAAAGAAATATTTGTTGAATTGACTCTTTTATGCAATGTTTCCTCTTAACTTGTCCATTAATTCAGTAGATTAGTACACTTCAAAATACAGATGACACCAAGTTGAGGAGGGAGTGTTGATCTGCTGGAAGGCAGGAGGGTTCTGCAGAGGGACCTGGACAAGCTGGAGAGCTGGGCTGATTCCAACAGGATGAGGTTCAACAAGTCCAAGTGCCGGGTCCTGCTCTTTGGCCACAACAACCCCAGGCAGCGCTACAGGCTGGGCACAGAGTGGCTGGAGAGCAACCAGGCAGAAAGGGACTTGGGGGTTTGGATTGACAGGAAGTGAAACATGAGCCAGCAGTGTGCCCAGGTGGCCAAGAAGGCCAATGACATCCTGGCCTGGATCAGGAACAGTGTGGCCAGTAGGTCCAAGGAAGTGATTCTGCCCCTGTGTTCAGCACTAGTGAGGCCACACCTGGAGTACTGTGTCCAGTTCTGGGCTCCTCAGTTCAGGAAGGATATTGAGGTGCTGCAGTATGTCCAGAGAAGAGCAACGAGGCTGGAGAAGGGACTCAAGCACAAGTCCTATGAGGGGAGGCTGACGGAGCTGCAGTTGTTTATCCTGGAGAAGAGGAGGCTCAGGGGAGACCTCATCACTCTCTACAACTCCCTGAAAGGAAGCTGTAGCCAAGTGGGCATCAGTCTCTGATATTAGGAAGAAATTCTTTACAAAGAGGGTAATCAGCATTGGAATGGGCTGCCCAGGGAAGTGGTGGATTCAGCATCCCTGGAGGTTTTTAAGGAGACACTGGATGTGGCACTCAGAGCCATGGTCTAGTAACCACGGTGGTAGTGGATCAAGGGTTGGACTTGATGATCTCGGAGGTCCTTTCCAACCCGTCTGATTCTATGATTCTATGAAAATAGACATTACAGGGTGAAAACAAGAGATAAATTGCTGAAGTCCTCCCAGTCCATTATCAGTGAAATGTTTCCTAGTATTATGCAATCTGTGTAGTCAGAAAAGTGTACAGAAACTTAACTCTTTGGAGTAACTTGTTAATTTTAAGTAATCTTAAAATTTTTTATACCATTAAAAAACCAAAATACTAAGATAAGTGTGTGTTTGGGCTTACATGTAGAGTTGTGTATACAAGTAAGTATCATGTCTATGTACATGATGACTTTGATAACTAATTGTAAAAATTAATTAAAAATTTTAATTACCTGGTTCATCAAGAATAAAGAGTCCTTCTTTTCTAGAAATAATAATAAAATAAACTAAGAAATATTACAGGGAGAAACACCTATAAAAATAAATAATGCATTTAATTAAATCTTACTGACTATTTCTTAAGATGTACATGATAATATAAGGATTTCAAGATTCCAAATAACTAAAAAAATCACACACACTCCCCAAAATAGAAAAAAAAAACAGAAAAGCACAGAAACCCCCTCCCAATCCAAACAGTGACAAAAAATTAATCAGAAAAACTAGCATAGCTTGTTAACAGTCATTGAGGACAAAACCATTTATGTGATGATATATGAATTCACAAAGGCAACCTTTCTATCATGCACTGCAAAACCAGAATTTTTCTACCAAACATATATACTAAGCACAACTACATCTCACGCACAGAATTCTTTTACACTCAGTGGAGAGACACAGTTACTTTAAATTATCTGTCCTAATTATTTAAACTCTACTGGAATGCAAAGATTCTGGCATCTTTTTGTTTCACTGGTTGGGCACTCAAGCAGTTCTCATGGAATTTCAGAACATCCATAGGACAACCCCTAAAAACAGGCTAAAGAAGGTCATACAACTTTGGAGGGAAAGAGACCTTAAAGGTAAGTGACTGTTGGAATAATTTCTCATTAGAAACAGCTGATGTTCTGTGATCAAACTGGGTCCATCACCACACAACAGACTAGGCATTTTAGTCCTCTACTCCGAATGTGTTCATCATCTTTTAACTCCACAGAATCAACCACCTCATATGAGATATTTAATTTTTTTGAGTTAAAAAATAAATTACTGATAATATGAAGCAAGATTTTTGCTACATCCTCTTGGACTCATATTATGTCATAGCACCACAGAATAGTTACATTTATTGAGTTGATATCATGTTTTACTGTGTCTTTCAATTTTGTGGCTGAGCTTGCACGGTGCAGTAGGTAAGAATTTGTTTGTCATTATCATCATCTGTAAATAAATGACACCTTAAATCCTATCTGAACTGTAATTTGTTTGATGGCTATAAATGCTCAGTGGTAGAGTAGAAAAAAGTATGATACTAAGTATGTTACAGTTTCTTGTCCAGTGATTTATAACAGCCATACAAAATGAAGTTTATACCCTATAAATTCCAACATATGTTTATCTTCTGGAACTCATCTAACTTCTATGATATGCCAAAATAATTTATCTCTTCTACTGTGTTACATTAAAATTGTAATTTATTGTTCATTTCTTCTTTTCTCTTTTGCAGACAATGCAGTATGCTCCAAAGATCAAATGAAGAATAATGTAAGGATGACACAGTTACTGCTTTGAAATCCAAGAAGCTCAGTAATAATGTTAATGCATGTAAAATAATAATAGAAAATAATAAATAGGAGAATTGCTGATGTCCTTGACAATTTATTAATCAAAGATTGCAAAATTACTGATTCAAATTCAGCTTTTTTTCCTTAACACTAACTCCATATGGCTAAGAAAACAATGTAGAGAGGACAGGAAGAGTAGAAATATCAGCCGTGATTTGGCTGCAATACATTACAGAATGTGCTATATTGATAGGATATCTAATATAGTATAGAGGTAATGATGCAGAGGTAGAACACACTGACTTGCGTTTCTAGTTGAGGTTACATTGACCATGCTATTTTGAAAATTATACTATCTTTAGTAATCATGATTCCTGTTAATAGCCCATATACAGCTAAATACAGGATTAGTTATGATGGATTGTGATATCTGTACATTCTGAAGCACTTTTCATGTGTTTATAGTTTGATTTAACAAATTAATGATTTTTGCCAAGTTGTAAATTCTGTACTTAAAAAAAAAGAATATTAAGAAAACCCATAACAACAGGCAACAACATGGCAATAAAAATGAATGAGCAAATTGTGAAAATAGAAGAATTACGTGTAATGATACTTCAACAGAATATCTTTCTGGCTTCTAGCTAGTATGAATTCAGAAACCTTTTGAGCAAAGGATGGCATGCTCTGTGCGTCATAACTCTAGGTGCATTTTATTTTCATGCATCATTTCTAGTGGTTCTGAACTGGTGTAATTTTCTTTCTCCAAGGACTTCCATATTTTAATTGTGTATTTTGTGAATAATTTGCTTTCTTTTTCATCGGGAATTTGTTCAATTCTAGTTCTTTAAAACAGATCTTCTGTTGAAAAAATGAACAATTTTTCCTATTTCTCATATTTGTTTGTTTTCCCTGTCAGTCATTTCTTTTCCAAACTCAAGCGTGTTAGTTTAATTTTTCCTTATACAGAGGTTGGCTCTCAATCATCCTTGACATTCTTTTGTTTTAGTTTTTCTACTTCTTATATCTTTTCTGTGTCAGAAGTAATGTGCACTGTATTCAAGGATTTGTTAACTGCAGAAGTTTAATAATGTATGTATGAATAGAATGACATATAAAATAGCTAAAGGCTATGTTATAGTAAAAGGATCCAGACTAATTTAAAGGGGTATGTGAAATATTAGCTTTGATCATAACATCTAAGAGCAAATCTCTTTTCCTTACCAAAAACAAACAACCAAAACCCAACAACAACAAAAAAACAACCAAACAAACCCCACAAACAGTCAAAAAACAAATGAATTGCCTTTTTTGCTTTTTTTACCTTTTTTTTTAATTTGGTCAAAATAATTGAGAATTGCATTGTTCTGTTACTTCGACCTAATATCTACATCTGTTTCACCTCCCCTGCAATTTTAAGTGTTTATTGTGCTAATTGCCAGCTACATCACATAACTTTAGCTTATTGCTACAATGTGGGAGGACAAATATTGTTCTTATGTTCCCTCTTATGGCAGCTGGCATTCTAGATAGTGCACATTTCTGACTTTGAATTAAGCTTATTTACTTTAATTTGGTCCTAGATGATAGTGTACATTCAGCTATAAATAGAAGAATTTTAGTTTAATTTCTTCTGTTTGGCATGGGTTATAAAAAACTCAATATCAATCTGACCTCTCAAGAAAAGGGAAATCTTATATCAAAGGCTTGGCTCAGACAAGATGAAGGGTTTTATCTAGAAGCAGACCTGGTTTAAAGGCATTCTAAAAAGAGAAAGAACCAGAATGGTTTGGGTTGGAAGAAACCTTAAAGATCATGTAGTCCAGTGTGTCTGTGAGGGACAGAGACACCTTTCACTAGAACAGGTTGCTCAAAGTCCCATCCAACCTGACCTTGAACATTTCCAGTGATGACGTATCCACAGCTTCTCTGGGCAACTTGTTCCAGTGTATAACCACCCTCATAATGAAGAAATTCTTCCTAGTATTCAATCTAAATATACCCACTTTCAGTTTAAAGACATTCCTCCTTGTCCTACCCCTACATGCCCTTTGAAGAAGTTCCTCTTTAGCTTTCTTGTACGACCCCTTTAGTTACTGGATGTCCACAATGAGGTCACTCCAGAGCTTTCTCCTCCAGGCTGAGCAACCCAAACTTTTTTCAGCCTGTCTTCATGGGAGATGTGCTCCAGTTGAGATGATCTGACCACTTTCAAGGTTGTCTTCTGGACCCTCTCCAACAGGTCCATATCTTGTGCTGGGGACCTCAGAGCTGGATGCAGCAGTCATCATATGTCATTTCATATATTTGGGTACTAAATACATTTTAATTCTTTCATTAAAAATTAATGCAATAGAAAAGTGTTTAATAAAGAGACAATAGCGATAAGGTAAAAATATAAAGTAGAAATACCCCGAACAAACTTTTTGGATTGAACTTATTACAAAACCTACAAGTAGCCTAAAAAACTAAACTAACTGTACTGATGTAAATACTTAAGTTGTTTTGCAGTAATTTGCATGTAAACAAAAACATAGGTTCCCACTTGAACAATAAGGCTAATTTCTCCAAACTTTTAATTTTTTTCTCAATTTTATCACTTAGTGTTGTCTATACTACAAAAAGCAATTTCCATTGTTAAAGTCCACTGACATAAAATTATCTGTGCTTCCTTCTTCTTGGACAGAAGATTCAGTTATGGGTACTATGGCTCTAAGAGTACTTTGAGATATTTACTACAATGTACTTAAACAGCAAGGAAAAGCGCATAAAATCACAAAATATAAACAACAATTCCACTATACTTTTTTCAATTTCATTATTATTTTAAAATATTTCACTTATGATTAATATATTAGCCAATTGTATTTCTTAAAATGAAATATGAACATGCATTTACTTCACAGTGTACTCCAAGAACTTGTCTGTCTGAATAAACCTACATAAGACAAGTCAAACCAGACAGTATTTGCTTTCCTCTTTGCCATGAACTCAAAACGCTTAAGGAAAATCAAAGCCCTTCTGAACATGCTCTCTCTTCAAGGGTATCTTTCCCTATTGCTTTTTAAACCTCACAAACTTGGCTTTCAATCCATCGTATTAATTAAGCTTTAGAACAGAATTTTAAATATTCTTAACCAAAGACAGGAATCCCAAAGACTAACATGTCACAAATATTTTGAATAAACTGCAAAAGTACTGCAGTCAAGAAAAGAAGAAATATAATGCCAGTGTCATGACAGAAAGTATCACAAGTCAGTGCGTGCTTATTTTGAGAAATATTTAACAACTTTGATAGAAATCTTCAGGTCAAATTTATCTACCTGTGAAAGATAGTACTAAGTAAAATGTCAAAAACTTTAGGCACAATTCTGAAAAATCACCTTCTAGTTAAGATATAAACCATGTGAAGATAATGCTTTCATTTGTAAACTAAGAAGCAAACTAGTATCCTAGTGTCATGGGAAAAAAACTGAAAACACAAAGGTCAACCTTTAAGTTCTCTGACAAGACTCTTCGTTAATCTCTTAATCTCATTTTATCTAAGCACCAAAGAAATCTTATGTCAGGAAATGGCTGCTTCTTGTGACAGAATTCAAACACGTCTAAGATTTCATAGGAATCTTCACAACTGACATAAGGTTGATTCACATGGTTTCAGTAATCTCATTAAGCTCTAATTATTTAAATTAGTTGTCTGGTTTAAAATACTTGGCCAATGTCCGTTACAAATGAAGAGACAGTTGTACCCACAGATCAAAGCTCACCCACACCTTGAATATATAAAATATAGAGAATAAATCACACTTTTGAGAGGTGAACTATAAAACTTACACTAGATGCCTAATTTTTACAGTGCTAGATGTAGATAAAGCAAATCTTACCACTGCAGCACTCCATGGACCCATGTTACATCCCTAAGCCTGTTTTGCAAAAAATGGAGGAAAAAGTGAATTCAAAAAGATATCATAAAAGCTATAATGTCTTGATCAATTGTCCAAAACACTTGTAACAAGTGTTGAGGAAAGAGACAGAGCTGTTTTTGCCCACCAAACACACACACATAAACACAAAGCAATAGTAAAACATCGGTTTCCTGAATTATTTTAGAAGAAAATCATAAAATAAATGAAGACTCAGATAGCAATATACTTTTACCTCCTGACTTGATAACTCTATCAGTGTCTTTCCTGGAGTGTCTAATTTGCTATTCTATGTCTAGTTTTAGTATTGCATACTTGTGCACCCTGGGCTCTGACTTTTGAAAAGAATACTAAACTCTGAGAAAGCTATAGGAGAAGGTACATCAAATAGAACTGTTCAAGACAGACTTGCAAACCTAAATTTTCAGACAGAACTAAGGACATTGAGCTTTGCATACTGGATAAGTAAAGGATTCAAGAGCAAAAAACATGGGCATGAGAAGGTATAAAATTTTAAAAGAAAGGAACAAAATGTTTCTGCAGCTCAGAAACATTGGACATCAGGTCATTTCAAATAGCAACAAAGTGCAATCAACTTATAAGAAAGTGTGTGATCAACTCCTAAGGCATCTTATTGGAGCTGATGACAGTATTAAAGTCCATCTTTACAAGTTGTTAGTCTTAACTGTCTATTATGAAGCTTTGTCCATTAGATACTGCCTTGTGTTTAACCTACTTAAACATGGTAAAAATATAACCAAGCTTGGTGCCCCGAAGAGGTACTAAAGCATCACTCTGCCAAAAAGATTTTGCACATCATATTATATATCCATTAATTTACTTCCATTAAAAGCATTTTATTTAACATAAAATAATTGCTATCTGGGTACAAATAGCCTTTGTTCTTACCAGTTTTTTAAAGAACACATGCAATTTGACAAAAGCCTTTTCCTTTCCCCCATTCCCTGGCTCCTCTGTGAAAGCAAAGGGAAATAAAAAATTTATTAAAAATACCAAAGACATTGTAAGGAGATAAACACATTGATGTTTGTGGTTCAAGCTGACTACTACAGGCTAACAATAGCACAGAAGCCAGAAAGCCAGATCAGTGAGCTGTTAGGCCGAAGTTAACATGCTTTAACAGATGTTATCACAAACATCTGTAGAACTGAATATATAAATATTGTGAAAAATTTCATCAGAATTAGAGATGTAAATACCTCTTTCATTGCTTCTGTTGACTCAGTATGACTAAATGATCTCTCTTTGCAAGTCAGATTCTGAAAGATGGAGTAAATTCAGAGAAGTGATGGCTAACTTACAAGTTAAATATAAGTCCAGAAAAAAAGGAGAAGCAAATAGTTAATTTCATGTAGAACAGCATGTTGTTAAAACACCCTGTGTTCTTTGAATTCCTATAAGATTTTCCATATCATTTGTATTGTAGTTGTCATGCAGAGAAATGAAAAGTAACTCTAAGAGTAGTCATAACAGAAATTTCAGGAGCCTCAACTGTGTCTATTCCTGAAGTTAGGTGAGATAAATATAACATATCTTTGACATACATTGAAGATTACACACAAAGATGCATATGAGTTCATTCCTTTTATTTCTGATCTCAAAACTTTAATGTAATCATTGGACATTTGCTACTTTTTTTTTTTTTGGTTTTTTTGGGGGTTTTTTTAATGGATTAGGAGTGATTTTTCTGTTTGTAATTTTGCACTGATCTCAATTTAAAATACATGCAAGAACCTAAGGAAGTCTTTTTGTACATCTGAATCTTCTACATCCCAGTCTAAAGATCTTGATCTACTGATTTATTTTATTTTTCAAAAGCAAAAGGAAAATCAGTAACTTTGTTTGATCCTACTTCTTGTCAGATAAGATTAAATCACGTGCAGACTCTGAACATCATTAAAGTCAAAATGACCTCAGAATTATCCTATCAAAATTCTTAGGATCAAACCATAATCTTAACAATAGTTGTTATATCCAAATAAAAAAACCGAATTGAATCAGCACAACTAAGTTGTTATAAAGGGTACTAGACTACATCAAAGCAGATAACAAAACAGCTGTGCTGACTGTGCACCACAAGAAAGTAATTTAAAACAAATGCATTTTTCCTTGTTAGTATAGTATAAAAACTCAGCACAAACAGTTATGGTTTAAATATGTACCTTTAAATGTAGCCTTTTTTATTAAATGTTTGCAATATCTTGGGCTCCTTTAACTCTTAGATATTATTGTTAAAATTGTGGTAGTAATAAAAAAAAAGTACAATTGCAATGCCAGGAACACCTTGACAATATAGACATTGTGTATTAATAATGCTACTAGAAGATAGAAAGTATCATAATAAGTTAGACAGCAATACACCTGAAAACTGGTTATTAGTTTCTGGGAAATTCATTAAAATAAAACATTGTTTGTATTTAATCCAATGGTTTATTTTAGGTGAAGGTTTGGAACTGCTCAGAAGCAAGGACAAAGTGTCCTTCATGTGATAAGAACGCTCTAAATCACAAAGCATTAGGTAAGAGAAGAAGTAGTTTTAAAACACCTATGACTCAATTCAGTTGTTAAAACATAGATGTCTCAATCAACTTGAGATTTCCTGGCTGGAACCTAGCTGGTTTTAACCTGCTACTTCAGGTTACTTCAGGAAGGCTGAAGATGTCTCTAAGGTATTGTACCATAACTTCCAGACTTGTACAAATATTTACACCCTCTGGCAGGTTACAGTAGCATTATTTACCCAGATATAGATTGAGTGCTAGGCATCTGTCACAAAAGACCCTTCTGGAAGGGTCACATTTTTCAGCTCTATATTCTGGGTAGCACTAGGGTGCATCAAAGTGGATGGATGTCAGTCCTTGGTCAACAACATTCCCCCCCATATTTATGAGGTGTAATTTGGAGTAAATCAATCCAATTTGGGTTTTTTTAAAATTATTTTTATTTTTTGAAAAGAGCCTTTTACAGAGTATGGTACATCTCACCATTTTTTTCATTTATGAAAAAAATAATTTTTTCATCAGTTTATTCTTTTTCCCTACAAAGGCAGGCTGACCTATGTATCTCAGGGAAGTCTAA